AAAATGTAATCAAATATGTCGGTGCTAGATATGGCAAGAAATGTAAACATTTTTTTTCGATTTCTCTGAAACGGAGCAAAAACGAGCATATGTCTATAAGACTTTTTTTCTTAGTTTTTTACTCCTCTACACGCTCCCGAAGTTTTGCCATTTAATTTGGAAACACCCTGTATAATTATATATTTATTAATATATAATATTAAATTATAAGGTGCAGCAACCCTGGTAGAAATTTCCTCGTCAGTGCTACGATACTGGCCAACGCCACGATACTTTGCCACTGCTTTGTCACACCATAACCTCTTAAAAAAATCTGACATGGTCCATAAGAGACCTAGTCTTGCGCTTGATATGGACCAGGTATGGAAATAGCTTAGCATTCGCAGTAAAATTTATTAAATAGTCTAACGTAGCCCACGACAGACCCAGGCTCGCGCCTCAATGATGAAAATATGACCACAGCGCTTGTTCGCATCGCAGTATTTCGTGGCTGACAGATTTTCTAACCTGAATAGTCGTAAACTTTAATGATTAATGTCTCAGGCTCGCGGAGAAGAGTAACATTTTTCGTGTAAAAATGAAGATTTGATAAGAAAAAGGGTAATAATTTAGTTTAGCCACTGCCACCTCAAAAATCAATGAGATTTATAGGCTTACTCAATGTGTTTTTTTATGAAACGAAGGAATCTGGTAGAAAAAAACGTCACTCTGCCCCGCGAATCTGAGATATTAATCTTACGACTATTGAGATTAGAAAATTTGTCAGCCTGGTGCTGACAAGTATCAGTACCGAGGACAATCACTTCTCGGCAACAAAGATGGGATAGATTAAGGCATGGTGGAAGTAAGAAGGTGTGCTATTGCGCATACATTCTTCGCTGGCCAATGAGAGAACGATACTGAACTCAGCCATCTTGAGCAGCAATTCAAATGCATATAATAAGGGAAGATTCATGCAAAGAAAGTGGAATAACTATAGTGAATAAATGTTACAAAAAAAAAGATATATTGTTTTAATTTCAACAAGAACAAAGAACATAAAATAATTAATCAATAAAATATATACAGTTAGTAAATAATAAAAAGAAATTTACATTTAAAATGTAGTAACTTTACGGTTTGTAAATTTCGAAATTTTTTTATTGCGCTTTATTCTTTGGTTTTCTGCAGAAATTTGTTTATTGATGATTCTAATACGTATGTAAGTACATGTACGTACTAAACATAACAATATCTCTCGCGGAATCTGTATATTTTGTACTTTTTCCTGAGTTTTATCGGCTACTGTTTTGAAGATCCATGGATCTTTTCGAATAAAAGTTCCATGAAATATCTGAAACTCGATGTTCATCGCTTTCGCAACTTCATATAAATGGGAAGAAGGACTAATTAATCGTCCTCTAGAAATGTTGTTAATCCAGTCATTTTCTGGATTAACTAACATTTCAGTAGGCGTTCCTAAATCTTTATAAATATTAATGCATAAATCTGTATGCTACGTAATCGGCAATGTATTTCAGCCCTTCTTCTTCTATGACATCCAATGTATCAACTTCATGCAACAATGCCTGTTCTTCTAAGAAAGGAATATAATTCAAAGTATAGGTGGCTGTAGAAGAAAGATGAAACAGTATATATTAAAATAAAATATCTCAAGAACCATTTTCTTAGATTTTTGTATTTTTTTACATTTTTTATTCATACATTTTAAAAAATAATTTACATTTTTAATGCTAATAATAATAATAACTATAATACCAAAATGTTTCATATACAATTATATATATTATATGTAACGTCCGGTGCGCCTGCAGAGTAGCGCCCCGTACTACACGATAGACCGCGAGCACAGAGTATAGCACAAACTATAACATGTGCCAAACAACAATCGGGCAAAGCTATAGGCCGCGCAGCCGAACGATTCCGCCGTGCAACCCAACAAAGAAAACGCCGTAAAAATGCATCTTCCCGTAAAAACTACAAC